ATGGTTGCTTTCTACAAAGAATCTTGATAAATATTGTATTAAGATTCTTAAGTATTTAAAAAAAATAATGAAAAGTTCAGCGGTACAGTCGCCCACAGAATATAATGGGTATGTTGTCAGATGAGTAGTACTGTACAGCTACCGTAGAGCAAGCCCGATGCACCTGCAGTGTTTGCCTTGGCTCCTGACCCTTGTGAGTGAGGAAACCTACAAGAGAAACATCCCTTGCAGGGAGAGGTGCCCCATGGGCACACAGCCAAAACATAGTTTGCCAGACCGAGAACTGTTAAATCCCATAAGTATTAAGGTGAGGTACGAAATAAGTGCCTCCAGGTAATCCTTCTAGGAATATATGCTAAATATACATTCTAGGAGGCCTACCTGCTTATTTCCAATTTTCTCCCTTTCCTATATTCTCTTCCCTTTTGCTTCCTATGTTTTTTTTCTTTAAACTTTTGAAACTGTGACAGAACTTTAGACATTCCAGTTGTTCAGCTTCAAAACTAATTAAAGACCAAAATGAAAACTGTAAGACAGTGACTGCTTAGGCACTAAATTCTAAAATGCTCAGTAGTGAGATGAATGGCAAATGTCATGCAAATCCTCACTCTGTTATATTCAAAACAAAGAGATGTTCATTTAGATGTCCATAGTTCATCCTGTGATACGAACAGGAGAACGAAGGTTCAGAGATTGTACCATAGTGTCTGCCATCTATAGGTAATATTTCTGATAAACCATTAAGTCAATTTTCTATAACTCTGTTAGTTATTTTGAAACATAAATACATTTTACTGTGAAATGTGCCAGCTATGGTAAGAAATTTCTCCAATTTTTCAGAAGAAAAATTGACATTTTTGGAGCACTCCTTCAATTATCTTTAAAGATTATGGGTGTTGTTTTCTTCTACTTTATGGAGGTGGGGGAGAAATGGAGGTATTCCTATGTAGCACAGGCTGTCTTCTAACTCATGAACTTCCCACCTCAGCCCCCCCCAAATACTAGGATTGAGATATGAGCCAAGGCACCTGATTATTTTCTGATTTATGTTTTTCTTTTACTATGTATAATGCTTCCAAACAAGAGTGAGAGTTACTGTTCTGGAGACAAGTTTCTAAAATGTAAGTTAGTATCATTCCCTGGACTTGCTTCTTTCTATAGTCAATGGTAAATCCACATCAAAGCTGTTTTTAAAACTTGTCTTGTTGCTTGAATACCAGGTTGGGTGGCAGGGCCTTCCGCTCTCACGGGTGACAACAGTGCAGCCCACTGGGGCAGGATACCATTGTTCAAAGAACATTTGGTGCCACATTTTCTTCCACTTTATCACCACCAGTAAACAATAACACCAACAATGGGTCTGGTGCCCCCTCCACATAATGCTGAGATGTAAGCACTGGTGAATAGGCTCCTGCTGCTCCCAGCGCCCCAACAAGCCCCTGAGCACTGACTTCTGTGGATCTCACCAATATCAGGATCTAGTTTATGTTTAATGATTAACTTTTGCTTTAAAAATAGCATTGATGAAGCCATAGCTCTCCTAGACAATGGGAACAATCCTGTTTCCTCTAGGTTCAACAGAACTCAAGCTTTCCTTTCTCAGCTTTGCTAGGGTTATTGTTGCTTAGTATGCATCAACAGATAAACTTTCGACTCCCTCAATAAGCATATTCAATCCAGTAAATATTCCAATAAATTACTTTGATGGGTAAGATCTTTGCTTAATTTCAGATGAAATAGAAATGTTCGGAAATTCAATTAGCTTTGCTACATTTAAACTACACAGAAATACCCAGTTTAAGTGGGCAATCCATTCTGTTCAAACTGCATAGACTTCTTTTACAGCAATGGTAATATATTAATATCATATTTGCATTTTTATAAATGATTAATTTATAAGAAAACTTGATTCAAGCCTAGACAGACAAAGAGGCCCACTCCCTTTTTTTTTTAATTATTATATATTTAAAACAGTGTCACTTTTATTAAAGACTACTTCTTTCTATCATGGTTATTAACTAACTCCAGCAAATTGATCTCAACTAAGTGGAAGGAAGCCAGTTAGTTTTGTGTTCTTGCATGTATATGTGTGTATGTATACATGCATAGGTGTGCACTTGCCCACTCATGCTTTGTACAAAACCCCATTGCCTGTGACTTCTAAATTATTTTTTAGAGATACTTATTCATGTTTCTCCTTTATCAATCTAATAAAATGCCCAGTCTTAGCATGTGGGCTATCATTTTCACTATTCAATATTTTCAGGGTTTTTTTTTTTCTTTTTTTTTTTTAAGGAAAAAAAGATCCTAATGGAAATTACTTGGGAATAATCATGGGATTAATGAATCTGTAGGCCTTTTAGTTCTACACTGCAGTCACATTTATATTCTCTTCTTTTTGTAAAGCTCGGAATAAATCCCTGGACGCAAGAAGAATTTAGATGCTGATTACTTGCGATTGGTTCCTGGTGATTTGCCCTTAATAATTTCCAGTCGAGTTTAATGAAAGTATGATTCCTGAAAAGCCGCTTCATTAAAATTGCATCTTTCCCCCTTTAAGTGTAGTTTCAGTCATTTTACCCGCTTTGCGGTGTGTTTTTCTCCTCTTAAAAAGTAGTGATTGAGAAAGCAGAAACAATTAGGAGACTCACTTTAGCTCTTCCTAGAGCTTCGCTCACCCCCTCCCCATTTCACTGAGTGGAATGATAAAGGTGTGCTTCTTTGGGGTTCACAATGCTATCTTCCAAATTCATGAGACCGTTTTAAAGTATATACGGCCTTAAAAGCATATATGAAGATCTGAAGTAAAGTGAAGGATCTGTTGCATATACAAAAGAAGTAAGATCTTTAGTGTTTTTACTAAACACACGCACGCACAGAAACATACGTATATAAAGATTGATTAACTTGTGCAGCATTCCAACGTAATTTCACTGAGTTGGTGATTTGCAAATGAATATCTGCACGGATCCTTTTTAAAAATCCAAATGCAAATGAGTACAACTGCAGTAAACTATATTTGCAAATGAATCCTGTTGCTTTATTCATTTATTGTGTAATTACTGCAATCCTTCCCACCTTGTTTTCAGTATTTCTTAATCATTAAGTCGGAAGCATGACAGCAGTGCCAGCCCTGGCATGGTTCTCTTTGACTAAAACCTTGTAAATTAACACAATTAGCACAGCATCCTCCTGCTAATTAACTTCCACTGTCTGCTGCCTTGGTTTTGCAAACAAGGAAGCCAGAGTCAGAAGGGAATCAACATGCCATTCTGTTACCAAACTGTGTGCTCTGTTCAGTTTAGCTCAGCGAGTCAAAGCTAGCCATGTCAGAAGCCAGAGTCAGGCAGTGAGGAGCTGAAGTGGTTGGGGGAGGTGACCAGAAGGGGATAGGAGCTGTCAACACTGCTTGGGGAATTCAGAAGGGGACCCATGGCACAGAGGCTTCATTTAGACCAGGCCTCCTTCTTATCGAGGATTCTTTGCCAGAGGGCACAAGAGGGTTTGCAAAATTCACTTTGGGTAATACAAAGGAGATTAAGGAGGGTATCTTAATACAGCTGTAGCAGAAAAGGAAGTGTTCATTCCAAGTGAGCAGAGATTAGAGTTAAGATGAACAAGCCTTGAAAAATAGGAGAATGGAGTTCCAGTACTCTTTGGTAACTAACCATGTGAAACCCTCAAGGGTACATCTTAAATGAGTCGCTTTGGGCACTGCTTTTGTAATATTCGAAGCAGGTAATTTCTAAGGTCTTTCAAAAGTTGTAAATTAAAATGACTGTCGATTCTAATAGCAGAGTATTTCCGCTTAAGTCAGAAAATACTCATTTCAGGGTTACTACAGAGTCACTGGCTTCAGTTAGCAATCTGGCAGATGATGGAATTACTCCTATGACCTCATTGTTGAGTCGTATTCTTCCAGTTTCTGCCAGGCATGGCTCACTGTAGAAATGTAAGGACTGAGAATCCAGATTGTCCACACACACACACACACACACACACACACACACATATATATACAT